AAAAAAAAAAAAAAATCAGTCATTCAGCAAATAATTATTAAACTCCCATTATGTACTAGGCACTGCTAGTGTTGCTTACTTTTCCTTTCAGAGCTGATGCCTTATCAGTTGTGCCTTTTGAGATAATAAGAGGCATGCTTTCTCATCTTTACAGTTTTTTTAGAGAACCAATCTTCTAAATTGATAAAAAAGTGTACAGTTTATAAAATATTTTTTAAGCTTATAAAAATCTTAAAAACTCATTCTTACTGGTAAATTCATTTTAACACTGAGGAGGGAAATAGTTCTAAGTAGTTATTAGAAAGAAAAAAGAATACACATATACATGCCAATTGTGGCAGCTGTTCCCAGGAGAGATTAGCAGCAGTGATGCCACATATGTTTTGCTGGAATTGTCCCCTCTTTACCACCCAAGTGTTTGTGGAAGAAAGTCTGGAGTTGCTCCCAGGCATCCACCTGGGCCATGGCATGAGCCCTGGGCTCCCCTCCCCAAATGACAGGACTGCCCACCAAGGTATGCAGGGAAGCCCGGCATAAGGGGAAGTAAGGAGGCTCAATATAGTGCCCTGCCCCTGGGTAACAGATGATCTGGGGCTTTTTCCTCCCGTGGGCCTGTAAGCGTTTGGAGGCCTCCTGAGCATAGAACTCACTCTTCCAGTTGTGGTCATCCTGACCTACAAGGAACAGGAAGGTGCTCTCAGCCCTTTCCACAGGAATGAAGCTCTTCTGGTCAGGTCCTTCCAGAGGGCTGTTCAGGGCATCCACAATGTCTGCAAAGCCATCTTTGGTCACCTTGATTCGATTTTTGTTGACGCCAATAGGAGGCAGCGTCTCCCCCTTGTAGTGTAAGGTTCCCCCAACATTGGCCACAGAGCCATTGATTATGACAGCAGCCGTGATGCCCTTCAGGAAAGAGGCCATGGAAAGGCATAGTTCACTCCCTTTGGAAATTCCAAGCAGCCCGACTCCTGGACCCTTTACCTGAGACAGAGATAGGGACACAAGAAGAATGAGACAACAGGCAGTGTACCAGAATGCGTCTTGCCCACCCTTGGAAGTCAGGTGAACCTGAGCCTGAATCTGGGCTATACCAATATCCCAGCTTTATAAAAGTCATGAAGCCTCTAGAAAGCTGTTTCCCAATGCTACAGAGTCAATGTGAAGATCAAACGAGAAACCAAATGTAAAGCACTTATCACAATGCTTGTCAATAAGCAGCACTCAGACAAATAAAAAATGTTTTATAGTCTCTGATGCCTTTACACATCAGTGGGCCATTCACTCACCTAAGTTCATGGTGATCTGACGTTTAAGAACCTAAGTAGTGCTCCATTTGTGTATAAGATCCCAAGATGCACATGTAAGTACTGGGGAAGGGAAGGCCTGCACTACAAAGAAAATTTTTCTTCCTGAAATTAATAGCTTTTTTTTTTGCTAGGCTTATGCCTGTTTTCCTAGTACTTTTGGAGGCAGAGGCTGGAGAGTCACTCAAAGCCAGGAATTCAAGACCAGCCTGGGCAACAGCAAGATACTGTGTCTGCAAAAAATAAAACTATTGGCCCATGTGGTGGCACACACCTGTCGCCCCAGCTACTCAAGAGGCTGACTCAGGAGATTCAATTGAGCCCAGGAGTTTTAGGTTGCTGTGAGCTGTGATAGTCTCTGGCCTGGGTAACAAAGGGAGACCCTGTCACAAAAACAAACAAAATGTTTTTTTCCAAGAACATTTCAGGTAATTAAATAGTGAATGAGTAGAAACAGTATATGTATGTAGTATAAAATCATAAATATATATTATAAAAGTGTAAATATTAACATAAGCCTATTTTGCAGCTCTTAAATCATTATTTACTGCTATACTAATAACAGTAGCCAACAACTCAATCTTATTTGTTTTTTTTTTTTTTTGAGACAGAGTCTCAAACTGTCACCCTTGGTAGAGTGCTATGGCATCACAGCTCACAGCAACCTCAAACTCTTGAGCTTCAGCGATTCTCTTGCCTCAGCATCCCAAGTAGCTGGGACCATAGGCATCCACCACAATGCTCAGCTATTTCTCCCCCCCCCCGCCCCCAAGGAAAGAAGCAGTGGGGCGAAACAAAAGGGTAGTAGTTAAATCTTCCCACCCTTTCCTCTCCACCTGCCTACTCCCCTGTTCTTTCAGCTATTTTTTGTTGCAGTTGTCATTGTTGTTTAGCTGGCCCGGGCTAGGTTCAAACCCGCCAGCCTCAGTGTGGCTGGCACCATAACCAGTGTGCTACAGGTGCCAAGCCTTAATCTTTTCTAAATGGGGCTCTTCCAAAGCTTGAGCCATCCACTTCACTTCCACTATTTCCCTATTAGCACTTTGAATTGTTAGATTATGCTTTGCCTAACCCTCTCTCTTCTGTCCCCAGCTGGTACTCTAAGCTCATGTGCACATGAACCTGGTCTCCCATTTCAAGAGCTTCTCACATATTATTCATTTAACTTCCACAGCAAACCTGGAAGTTGGAGACAAGTTCACATCACCACAAAGCAATGATGTTCTAGACGACCAACCCTCTTGGTTTGTCTGAGACTTCTTGGTCTTAGCAAAGAAAGGCCTATATCCCAGGAAACCCCTCAGTGCTGGTTAAAGCACAATGCTCAATTACCATACCTGGTATTCAAACATCAGGCTGCCTGATGGACTTTGCACCCTCCAAGATACCTCCCAACTGTGATCTTTACATTTCTCTGTGAACTTGGAAGAGACTTCATTTGTGTTTGGTGCCGGGGTGGGGTGGGGTGGGGTGGTGGACGATGGGAGGATGTCACTGTTGTCCAGGCTGGTCTCAGATTCCTGGGCTCAAGCAACCCTCTCACCCTAACCTCTTGTGGACAGTCACTACTGGGGTAGTTTTTGACTAGTCCTTTTTAATGTATTACTGTTCTCTACCCTTTTTTTCAATTTCATGAAAATTTCCTTAGGATATATTCTTCTGGTATCATTTTAATTAGGTACTTCTATTTTGACATCACAATTAAATTGGTTAAACCAAACTTATGTTACTAATTTGTTTTTGACTTTTCTTCTATTAAAATATAAGCCAAATACTTGTAGCCAAATATTTACATACATTCATAAAAGTTTACTTAAAAGAAATTACTAGAAGTGAAATTGTGAGAATGAATCTTTTTTTCAGAGATGGGACCTTGCCATGTTGCCCAGGCCAGTCTCAAACTCCTGGTCTCAAGCAATCATCCTGGCTTGGCCTCCCAAAGTGCTGGGATTACAGGTATAAACCACCATGCCCAGCGAAAATGCATCTTTTAAATATTCTTATACAGGAATCCTTTTCCTGGCTGGTGCAGGTGTCTTTGCTGATGACTTCTGTTTCGGAACTGCTGGTAATAAGATGTCTTCAGGAAATGCCAATATTGAGCACCCTGCTCCCAACTTCAAAGCCACACTTTTATGCCAGGTTACTTCAAAGATAACGAACTGTCTGACTACCAAGGAAAATATGTTGTACTTTTCTTTTACCTTCTTGACTTCACTTTTGTCTTCCCTACAAAGATCATTGCTTTCAGTGATAGAACAGAATTTAAGAAACTCAACCGCCAAGTGATTGGTGCTCCTGTAGATTCTCATTTCTGTCACTTGGTGTGGATCAACCCACCTAAGAAACAAGCAGGACTGGGACCCACGTCCCTTTGGATTCAGACCCCAAGGATTATGGGGTCTTAAAGGCTGATAAAGGCATCTCGTTCAGGGGCCTCTTTATTATTGATGATAAGGGCACCCTTCAGCAGATCACTATAAATAACCTCCCCATTGATCACTCTGTGGATAAGACTCTGAGCCTAGTTCAGCCTTTTGAGTTCACTGACAAAACACAGGGAAGGTGTAGAACCAACATAAGATATGCCATGTCACAATTCCTCCCTAACAGTAGGAGTTTGCAACACAGAAACTAAAGAATATAAGAGCAATGAACTAACCAACAGGCTATACGACCTTCAGAAAAGACCAAGGTTTGATCAGCCATGATAACAGACAGCAAAAGACCCTGCCAAAGAGGTTGAGAACCTGAAAAAGAACTTCAACAAGGATTCTAAGCTGTCAATTGTGCCATAAGTGACTTCCAGGAACATCATGATGCAGAATTATAGCTGAAGAAGCTACAGCTTGATGTTTCATTTTTTCATTCTGGCTCCATCCAAGAAGTAGCACCAATGGGACATATATACCCCAACTTACCCTGTAGGGCAACTCCACCCATTGTCATGCAGGCATCCACAACTAGAACTGAGTCTTCACCTCGGTGCCTGTAGCTCAGCAGCTAGGGCGCCA